GCTGCCCGCCTGGGTACCGGGCGCTGCCGCCGGGATTGTCTCCTTGCACCTCATCCAGAAACTATTCTTCCCCTACTTCTGGGCTGACCTGAGATACCTGCTGAAAGTGTTGATGTATGGGCTGAGAGTGGAGACGTACCGGCTGCAAGGGAGGGTTGTCACCGTCCTGGACAAGTTCGTGAAGCTGGCTGAGAAGCAGCCCCACAAGCCGTTCCTCATCTACGAAGGGAAGGTGCACACCTACCGGGATGTGGACAGAAGGAGTAACAGGATAGCGCAGGTCTTCCTGCACTGCGGGGCTCTGAAGAAGGGTGACACGGTGGCCTTGCTGATGGGCAACGAGCCAGACTTCATCCACGTGTGGTTCGGACTGGCCAAGCTGGGCTGTGTGGTGGCTTTCCTCAACTTCAATGTCCGCTCCAGATCTCTCCTGCACTGTGTCAGTAGCTGTGAGCCCAAGATACTGATTGTGGGAGCAGGTAGAGTATACGCCTGATTCATATATCCAAAGCTCTTAATGTCACGTCTCCCCGGTACATGTCTCTCCAGCTCCTTCATTGAAAACCTGATTTTCAGATGTTCACAGAATAACAGAAACCTAGGGCTAGAAGGAGCTTCAAGAGATGATAAAACTTAAGCCTCTCAGGCAGAATCAAGTATATCCATGCTTTAGGAATATCCATGTAACCTTTTCTTAAAAAACGTTCATTGCAAGAAGTTTGCAACATCTAAGTACAGCCAGTTCCAAGTGTTTAATAGCTTTGGTAGTTGCTTAATGTGTCTCAGAAAAGATTAAAATGATCTATTAAGAATAATTTCCCATTCCTTTTTAAATAGTCAATTTTAATCTTATTTAAGACATGCACTTTCTTCTCCTGTACTATCTCCCCATCTTTCTAGTGATCAAAACCACTGCAAACTAGAAGGTCTAAGCTCAGACTGTACAACCTCTTCTGTAACTGTTTGCAGAGGTACAATAGTCTTCCAGGGACTAAAATTGAGAGGGTTTCTTTACAGGTGTAGTACGTAGGAGGTTGATTTTTAATAACCAGCTTACTGTTGACATTGGATTGTGGAAGAAATTACTGTGTTTGAATAGGAGATAATAGTGCATGTTGTGTAAGTTTCCAAAGTACTACATTTTTATGAAGTGCTTCAAAACAATTTAAAATCTTTATGTAGGCATACTGTGCATTGTGTATTCAAATTGGGCTTCAGTTATAGAGATTATGTATAAAGTGAAGACAGATCCAAAACGTAAACTTGCCTCAGCATTTATGATCAAGTGCAAGTGAACCTGCAATGCTAAAAGATCACATTTGGTTGGAGGAGGATATTTCAAAATATTAAATATTAATGTTGCCCTGCCGCTCTAAAATTATTATTTCAAGTCTACTCTGCCTTATTTCTGTTTCACAAATTCTTGTCTTATTCCTGTTGCATAGGTTGTGGTGTTTTACATCAGTGACACCTAAATGGTGGAATTTCCTTCCATCTGTTCCCTGCTGTTGGAAATTTGTGCTTTCGAAAATATATTTAAGATTTTTCCCTTGCAAATTTTTTAATTATAAATTCTGTCATTCTGATTGTATATGGTATGCTGGTTTAAGAATGCTTGGTAATTAGAACAACGTAATGAAACAAAAGCCAACTTAAATATAGTCCCAAAACACATGATAATAATGCTTCTGAACTGGCAGTTTTTAATTTTGCCTTCTTACTTAATCAATAAAGAAAAAATCTCATTTAACACCCTCTCATGTATATGTGCTTTTGAGTGTATGGACTGAGGAATGGAATTAATGTTCAGGAAATTCTTGCTCAGTAACTGTGGTGAAGGAGAACTTTGGATCAAAACTTGCATCTAAGAGTATTTTTTATATATTAAGTCTTTATTAAGGTGAGAGGTTAACTAATGAATGAAAAAAGCATTTCCAAAGCAGGAATGGGGTCTGTGTTTCTCAGACCTAATTGTTAGCTAATTTGCAGCTAATTTGTTACCAGCAGCTGATAGTAAGACCGACTATGTTGAACTAACTTGTTCTAGGAGTCTGCCTCTGCTCACAAAAGAGCTATGTGCAGGCAGATAATACAACAGAGATATCAACAAATTAGTCTCTGAGCTGGTCTTTATGTGTTGGCCGCCTTACTTCATTTGTGGGTTTTACTCTCTGCATTAAGTTTGTGAGTCCTTTGTGAGTTCCTTGAGCCTGCAAGGTTCCACAGTAGTCTTCGAGGAGGCTCTTTTTTTATCTGTATCTGTGAAAGAAGTTGGAAGTTCTGTTATGTGCTTGTTTATTGGCCATGTCATATGGAAAAGGAGCCTCTCCAAAGGAGTCCAGGTTTCTGGTTCACATATGAAGGTTCATATACTGTTCAGTGACTGTGAGGACTAACTCATACCAGTCTTGAAACAAAAGACATATTATACATAATTATTGTACATCATAATTTCCCCCTAATGTTATAAAAGTTGCAGGGCAGTATTTAACACTGAGGTTACGCAGTCAGTTAGATAATTCTCAGAGGTCTGTTAAACATCTTTTCGTCCAGTGTTAGTGTGTGTTTCAAGGGATTCTTCCTTATCTGCAGGCATGACCTGAACTTTCTTGTGTGTTTTGCTCTTGTGGCACTATTTTCCACAGGATTGTGCATAGCTTGAACATAGGTTTTTGTTGTGGTTTTTTTCTCCAAAAATATTTACATAAAAGCAATCAGCCTGTGGTCCAATATCTATCGTTGTCATAGTCAGGTATCATGTTTGGCAACTAAGACTGTGTTTTTAATCAGAGATTAGTATGTAATGGTATTATTTCTGGATAGTGGAAGTTCTAATTTTCAAAAATACGTAGGTTTTTCACCCTCCACAAACAAATATAGGCTTGACTTAGTAATTCCATTTCTTGTAATAGTTACAAAACTATCTTTTCAATATTTTGGATGACCTTCAATCTTCTTCATGTACTGCAGCACAGCAGAATATCCCCTTAACAATTTGACCATTAACTGTCTGTGCTCAGCAAGACCAAATTTACTCTTGAAATTATTGTCTGTAATAGCACATTAAATCAGGAACCTGTATTCAAATCCATTTAATATTAAGGTTTCAACTGTGCTGAAGGGAACCTTCCACCTTTTGCTGATACGTGGAACAGTTCCCACAGATGATAGCTTATTGCTGAATCTTCCCTGTTCAGAATGGTGGCGTAGCCTTTCTCTGCGTAGAGGATTGCATCTTGCAGCTTCTTTTGGTACATCTTGTCATTTTTCCAAAATGCTTTTATTTTTTACAAATGTGATACCGCTATCTAAATAGGCTGGGTACTATTTATGGTTGCATTTTCTTCCACGCCTTGTTCAGTCTTTCATGCTGCCTCTTGCAAGATCACTTTCATTTATGGAATTTGTACTCTTCAGTTTTGTTTTGTGCCTGCATATTTTTCAGAGGTTGTGGTTTGGTAACCTGGTCCAATTAGTTTCATCTTGTCTTTCCTTCAGCACTTGCAGTCAGACTTTCTTCTGGTCTGACAATTCTCTGATATTTTGGTTGCTTTTTCTAAATTTAGATGGGAGTCTTCCCATCTAGTACTTAAGTTTTGGGGGTTTGTTTTTGACTTACATATTCTACAAACTCTGCAGTTGAATGTTTTATTCTTAAGCCTCAGATATGTTATAAAAGCTTAAAAAGTTCTTCCTCTTGTCGGTTTCTTATTTGGAATGGATATCTCTAAAAGGTTGAATTTTTTTCTATGACAGCAATGTTCTTTTAATTCATTCAGCACAATCTAGTAACTTGTTTTTTTCCTTATCCAACTGCAGGCTCTAAAGCAAATACAGGTTCTCTAACTTGCCAATATTTAGACGTTATGTTCCTTTCCAATATTTCCATTTGCCTTTGTGACACAGAGGTTTTGCTTTAGTACTTTCATTTGTCTGCTGTGTTCACAGAGCACTTAGGTCTTGCTTTAATTTGTTATGTAACATTCTCACACTTCCATTCCCAGAAACACTGTCTACCACCACTCCCACTCTGGGGAATGTTTGTTGAAAGAGATTCAAAAGTTAGAGTTTAAAACTGCATTTTTAATAAAACAGAAATTAACTAAGATGTAAGTAAACGAAGAACTTGTAAAGGAGAAAAAAAAAGCTGTATGCCTTTCTGTCTATCAGACTGCCAGCGTTGGCTTACTCTAACAGCAGTCTGACCTGTTTAAAAGGTGTTTGTCCTTACTACATTTGTAACTAGATTATGCCACCCTTATTCATTTAAAAACTACTGGTTGAACAGAGAAGTAAGGTACTGCTTAAAATGAAGGCACCTTTTAAGGCACTGTGTCCTTTCTAGGGAATATTTCTATTTGCTGGAGTCTTGCTTGTACAAGGGATTACGTTTTATCTTTTGGACAGTACTTGTGTAACAGCAATACTATTAAACAACACTTACAATCTAGTGACCTGCCAGAAAGGTACAAATGGAATTTGCCAGCCCATGTATAGTGTGTTGCTGCTCAGATGAGTTCAGCTCTTACAAGGACGTCCCAGATTGCGGTCATGATTTCTGATGCAAGGATTCAACTGTGAAAGGATTGCACTACTAAATGCCATGAGATTGGTTTACATTAGTCCTGATAACAAAGGCTGTTCAGGGAATGTACATCCTGCATGGACATGTGTGGGCAGCCTGCTCTACGTGGGCCTGCATCAGCCAGGGCTGTTGGACCAAGATGACCTCCAGAGGTCCCTTCCAACCACAGCCATTTTGTGATTCTGCAATTACGGAATTACATCTCCCAGCTGTGCAAGTATAGCATTTTCCTGGCCAGGATTCTTTACTCTTGAGGCACCAGCAGTGCTTTCTGCTGATGATGAGTGTATTCTGAACTTCTCACCATCTGAGCTCAGCACCAGGGTTTATGCTGGCAGTTCAGACAAAAAGTAAAGTAAAATTCAGACATGAGTGTGTCTTCATCCTGGAGAAAGAGAGTCTTTTTTGGTATTTGTGATTTAAGGTCATACGGTATTGTGTACAAATAGCAGTATCATCTCTCATGTTAGTCACAGTGAAAAAAATAATGGATTTTATCAAAATCATGTTTTCTTAAGTATTTGGAATAAAAAGCTATTTAGACCTAAACATTTAGGACAAGGAAACCATAGAAGACCTGCAGAAGACACTCTTATCTGCTCTCTGAGACACCATATCTCTTTGAATCAACTTGCTTTTACTTGGTCTGTGTCTCTGTCCCAGATGGCCTTTGAGTGGAAAACAGTGCCAACTGTGTTTCCCAAGCCAGTCTCTGTTTTACTATCTTTACTGCCTTCAGTGGCGTTTCAAGATACCAACACTGATCCTGAGCCACAACTGACTTGTAATTTCTGTTATTATTCTTAGTGAGAGTAAGTGCTGGGTGCAAGGAATCACTTGGGGGATCAAGTACAAGTACAGGTACTTTATGAGGCCAGACAGCGTGGGGAAGAGTTTGGATTTGCATTGGCTTACTGAGCATATCAACCAGGGTACACATCAAAGTTATGTAAGAAACATTTCATACGGTTTTCCTTCTGAGTAACTTTCTGTTCAGTACAAGTTGATCTCATAATCTGATGTATTCCTTTCATCAGTGTAGGACTGTGTCGTTGCTAACAGGCTGCATTGTTTCTTTGCTAGAAAATAATATAAATAACCTTTTGTGCAACTTGAGGCCTAGGACAGTATAGTTCAAAATATTTTCCTTGCTTTCTCAGAAGATGTAACTGAGTTATGCATTCATGTGAATTTAATGTAACAGTTTCACAAAGTTTTTGGTGAATAATGAAGTGCTTTAAAAGCAAGATGAAAAAAAAAAGCAAAAAAGTGGAGAAGCATATTCATCTGGACAATTACAGAATTTTTTTTTGCCAGTAGAAGCCAAATAGTTAGCAAATGGTGAATATTCATATACAAACTATGTAAACAGTGCATACAGAACTGCTGACTACATTACCAAACTTTAGATAAGCCGTCATTTCTTCCTAAATAAATAAATCAAAACCTGAATATACCTTCATAGTGTAAAGAGCAAACAAGTACTTGAGAGAAACCACAAGCTTAAACAGGTAAATTGTTTTACTATAATTGCTTTCCTATATGATAGAGTACACATAACAGGTATCTCTAGAAACAATAAAACTATAGTTCCTCCAAGAGGGCTGTCTTTTCCTGACACATGGACAAGATGATATGTAAAGACCAATGAGCCCTACACAACGTCTGGCACAGAAGTTCTTTGTTCATGGAACAAAACCTTAATTGACTATCATCACAATTATTCTTTGGAAATAATATTAGTACAACTGAGAGTTATCTTCAAACACCCCATGCTCCTGTGTGTTCCAGAAGTAATTTTCAGTTTCTGGCAGTTTGAATACAGCTGTTTTAAATTACCCTTTCTTATTCAGGAAATCACTTATTGTTTCTGCTGTTGTCTGCTATCTAACTAGAAATTTCTTTCCAGATAATGTATAATTACAAGCTGTTCACATATTGTTCCAAGTACTAGATTCCTGAGCACAGAAGAAAAATTCTACTGTAAGATAGATCCATAGTTCAGTAGTAGTTAAAAAAACAAGCAAGCCTCAATGCAACAACAAAACCCATAGGTTTTATGAGTGAGTGCTGAGAGAAACAATAAACAGTGTGCATGTTTAATGTCAGGATTGATCTTAATTATTTAGAGTAAATATGTTTTGGTCTACTAAAAGGGAGTCATTCTTGTCATTCTTGAATCTTAAATGATTGTGTCTGTGGAGTTGAAATTAATAGTTGCCATCTTTCTTCCTTTGAAGGAAGGAAGGAAAACAGGGAAAAAGAAAAAGAAGAGGTAAATCCTCTTCTTTTTGACTGACTTGTACTTCATGTTACTCAAATACACAAAACACTTGGTGTACATCTTGTCTAGAACTTCCAAATACTAAAAATTCAGAAATATTTGTGAATTTCTTCATGTCATGCAGTCCTAAACAAAAATGTCTTCTGTAGAGAAGTTAAGAGTTGGTAGGTAATACAGCTTCATCGCTTTCAAAAATGTCAGCAGCATAACAATTTAAGGAAATGCAAGAAGGAATGAATTTATGTATGGAAAATAAGGAAATGCCACAATGATCCCTTTGGTATCTTCAGTACTTAAAAAGGGTGATACTGAGATTTTTTTTGGTGGGCCTTCTGCAAGAGGATCGTTTTCAATTAAACAATAGGTGAAATTTCATTTACAATTACACTTTAGTTACACAGGATAATTTTGCATGATGACTTTTATTGGGCAGTTTTTCTTAATATTTGTATGTCATGTTTGTTATCTGGTAAGGACACTGCACAGGATGGACAGCTGAGTCTGGTTCAAGTGATTACTGGAAGCTGGAGGAGCCCAGAAATTCTTAACAAACCCTAACATCTTTGCTGGCACTGTAGTTGGAGCCACTGCACCAATAAAGAATGACAGAGAATGCTATATTCTTTCACTATTTATGAGAACAGAAATGGAGCTCCAGCCACTTCATACACCTGTGTTTCTTTTGATAGATTCTCAGCCTAACTTGTACCGACACAAACTATCATTAGTTTATTTAGGAAACATATATGTGTATATATATGCATACTAGGAAGACAAAAATCAGTATTAGAAGGTAATAAGTATGTAGTTATTCTGTCACACTTGGTTTATTAATAGGTGGGTTTTTTTAGAAATACTACTGTTGTATTTTCATATTTATTACTTGAAAAATATACCCTAATTTTATAATACAACAGCAAAACAGAATTAATACGCGAAAGAACCTTGACTTCGAGTGCATTGGCTCTCCTGCAGTTAACACTATTGTCCTTAACATTGTTTTTTATTTACATTTTTTCATTCTATTGCTGTGTATAGTGGAAGGGGACTGTACTCCAGTGATTCAAACAGGAGGCTATCTGTCTTACAGATTTTCATCGTTATTTGGGTGAAACCATTCTGCAGTTCAATGAAGTTAGAACACAAAAATTTTAATGTCACACGCCATCAGATCTATTAGCTAAACATTCATATAATATATAGAACTTGTACTCTGCAGGCATTCGGTTTGGAAGACCTAGGTTTAGTTGGCAACAGTAGGCTATATCTCTGTAATAGTAATAGAGATTAGTATGTCATTCATTAAAACATATACAGCAGTCTGTCATTAGGAATGTAGTTTTCTGAAAGGTTAAAAATTTTCAGTTATTTTGGTGCAAAATTTATGCAAGGGGATTCTATTAATGGTATCCATATTTAATATTTGCGAAATGAGCTTGGAGTTGACATCAGGGCTTCAAATGCTGGCTCTGGCATGTCTCATTGTGAGGTTCTGGGTGAATCATGTCAACTCTGTTTGTTTATTCATCTATAAAAGCTGAGATTATAACATAAATTTATACCCACAGGGATATTTGCAAGATTAATTACATAGGCTGAGATCCAGCAAAGCACTTAAGTGTAAATGAGTCTTTAAGTATATGAATAGTTCTATTGAAAGCAGTATTATTCCTATTCTTGAGAATTTTCCTGGATTAGGACTTTAATGCCTGTGCAGTGTTCTGAGAAAGTGGCAGATTGTAAAAAATGCTAAGAAATATAAACATAAATACCAAGTTTATTACTTAAGGATTGGTTTCTATTTATATTTTTTCTTTTTGTTTAATCTGGGACTCTCTTTCATGGTTTCTTTCCTGATAAACCAACAAAATAGATGTTAGTTATGCTGCTGTTTTTGTTTTATAAAAGTGAGTTTGTATTTGTATTCAGGTAAAAGTCAATATAAGGACTGGCTTTCAGTGAATGAACATGTGATTATAAGAAAATAAAATTGTCTGATGTACCTAAAATCAGATTCATTAAGATACCTAAAACACTCAAAGCACTACATAAATAGCTTCATGGTTCTTTGGCAGTGTCTGACTAAGCAATGGGCATGTAGCGTATTTCTATTCTGTGAAATTCGGGTACCTACATACGTGATACAATTTTTTGTTCATGTGTTTGTTTTTTAAATTAGTCACTTCTGTGCTTTTGAAAAAAATACTGCTCGATGAGAGATTGCTGTAGCGGGCATCCAGGGAAACCTGCACTGTAATTACCAGCTATGTGTTTGCCTTGCAACTTCAACAGATTTCTTCGTGATTTGTTTGAAGTTGAAGCTTAACTATACTTCATTCTGGTCTTAGCAATGACCAAGGGTTATCCAAAATGAGGTGGGAAGCCAGAGCTAGTAATCAAGGCTCACCATTTTGCCTTGAGGGCTAGTTGACAATTAGAGCTTGTGAGGTCAGTAGTATTTTTACCACATTATATCCTGGTTTTAGTGAATTTTCATTCTAGTTCATCATTATTTTATTGAATTTTATTTTATGTCTATGGAGGTGGCTTTCATTCTTCTTTCTATTGTAAAAAGTAAAACTTTCAGAGGAAAAACACTTTGCTAGTTTTGTGCAGACATAATGTAAGTAACATTATTTTATGTTAATTTTTAAGATTTGCTTGGAACACTTGAAGAAATTCTTCCTAACCTCCAGAAGGACATTAGTGTTTGGATAATGACCAAAGACTCCACTTTTCCAAGTGTGCATACCCTTTTAGACAAAATAGAGACTGCATCTGAAGACCCTGTTCCAGTTAATCGACGCTCTGCTGAGAACCTCAAGTCATCTGTTTTATATATATTTACTTCAGGAACAACAGGTACAGGTCGTCTAGAGTCTATATTTTCCTTCAGGCTTCATCTAGAAACTTGTTTTTCGGAAACTCTAATCTTGTGCTTCATCTTTTCATAGTAGAGTATCATATTTCTTACGTGGAAGCATTATGGTCAAAATAAGCATGTTTCTTGTCAGTGACTGTTTATGTTCAGTGGTTTATGGGCTTCTCTTTTTTTTCCTGCCACATTGTGCAAACACTATGAGAAGCTTTATCTCTAATTACTTCACAGCTAAGGTGTTTATAAAACATCTTGCTTTTTCAGTGAGTTTACAATGATAATAAATAGTATTTTGTGGTCACATACCACTGTCTAGCTAATATAGCTAACACTGTATCTCAAACTTTAAAAAACAATCTTCAAGCAAATAGACATTTGGTTTTTCTTCATTAAGTCACATTCTGTGCAGGTCACTGTAGAGACAGAAAATAGGATTATGTTACTAGCCTTTTAGTTTAGAAACAGATGGCTGAATTTATTACCAGTGCTCCAGCAGCTAAGAAGCTAAGACTTTAAAAAAAACCTGATCACTGACATGAAAAGCAGTATGATGTTGTTAAGATAAGTAGATTGGCATTCTCATTCAGCTGAACACAACAGTTTTAGTCACAAGAAGATTTAAAATGAAGATGTGTTTTATGGCTTCATTCCCTCATACAAATAATTATTTAATTTGTTTGCTTAGGGTTCTGGGGAAAAATTAGAAAATAAAAATGTTAGTCTAGAATAAAAAAATTAGGAAGGTATAAATATTGTCAAGAGGTCAGGTATGTTTGTAATAGTACTAATATAAATATGGTTGAGCTTGCTAGTTCAAAGTAAGGAGTTTTAGCTAAAAAGTGTTATAGAATTCTCCAGGTAGGAGGATTTTGTTCTTATAACTGCATTCAGAATATCTGTGTGAAGTCTCAGATTTTAGTTATGTAGAATTTAAAATATTTTTGAATGCTTCTATGTATTACATTAATTTATATTGGATTTCTTTTATGTACCATGTAACTAAAAGAATAAGGTTTGTTTAGTCTGAAGAGTGTGGAATAACTAATTCTAATCTGAAGTAACTGAGCATTTTCACAATTTCTGATAAAGCAAGAGCATAGTGTTGCTCCTAAAATCAATGACTGGTAAACTTAGTTAAAAGGAAAAGGTATCTTGCACGGTCTGTAGTCAGCTGTCTGTAAAGGCAGAAGGAAAAAAACCTGAAGATTGCAGAGCACTTCTTGCTATAAGTGGTTCATTGGCAACATAGGCTTATTGCCTTTTCTCTTTAGTGTGATGGGTTTTGGAATAGCTTTGAATTGTAGCTAGGATCTCTATAGATTACACTTCCAGTTAACAGCTCTACTTAAATCTTCAAATGAACGCTAGCTGTGCTAGAATAGGTGAGAAAACTTTCTGAACCATTAAATTTTTTGAAATTTTTAATAGTCCTCACTGTTCATCATCAGGACTCAGCCTGAAATTTGTGTGTGTATGTGAGAACATATATGAAGCAAGAACACATCCCCTACTCAAAATAATGGGTACCAGAGCAGTAGCCCAAGAAGCTCTTGCATGAGAGTCTGTATGCTGCTGAACAGAATTCTATGTTGAACCTGAAGAAACTCATTAAGAAGAACCTAACAGGAGTGGACTTTTTGCTGGGGTTTTTTTGTCTGTTTGTTTGTTTTTTTTAATTCTACATAGTCTTCATAGCATTCTAAAACAAATGGGTGGACTTAGACGTGCACGTCTTAGATAAGCACCCACTACATGATCTACCTCATGTAGATCCTGTACTTTTCTTAATTATGTTACAGTCGCTATGACTCTTGCCTGAAAGAGATGTAGTGTGATGCCTTTTTATGTTAAAGGAAGTCCATATGTACAATAAATGCTTTTGGCCTTTGTTGGCTCTATATAATTTGATAGTGTGCTAACCATGGAGTTTCTTCATGTTTCCACCTATTTGAATTGACTTGATGTCAGATTAAATAAATAACAGACGAGGTTGCAAACTGGTTTATGGATTTGTATGTGTACAGAACAAACATGCAATACTGTGTTAAACAGCCAGTTGTCTGTTAACGGCCGTCTTAACAGATGGCTGAAAATTTGGTTACAGAAGAAAGAATTGATTCTTCTATGAATTTAGAAACCTTACACAGGGGAAAAAAAATTGAGTTTTCTTTGAGAGGCTTTATGCATGGTTGTGTGTTTTCATTACAGGTCTTCCAAAGGCCGCAGTCATCAGTCACATGCAGGTTCTTAAAGGAGCTGCTGGAATGTGGGCCTTTGGTGCTACTGCAGAAGACATCGTTTATATTACTCTGCCTCTTTATCACAGTGCAGCATCTCTTCTTGGCATCGGTGGATGCATTGAATTGGGTATGGCTCATTTCATTTAATTGTGTTGTTAAAACAGAATTAATTATTATAAAAATGTATAAAACACACTTAGGTTCACTGCCATTAGGAAAGCAAATGCTTTGGTGAAATCAAATGAATAGTCTTTTCAGAATAGCTTTATATTTCTGTATTTTGGGGGTGGGGGTGCTGTAATAGCGAAGGATCTCTTACAAGCTCTCTGTGTGGTACTAGAGAAGAATTAGTTATAGTAATTTGCGTCACAAATATTTTTACTTTCTTTTATATTTAGGTAAAAAGGAATTCAAGGAATGTAATATTTTGGCAGTGCGTATAGTGCGTTATTATATATACAGACTAAGCATTGTACAGTGGAATAGAACTAAAATGTATTTTGGTGAACTTAAAAAGACTGACAAATACATTTATAGTGAACATTCAGCTTTGTCATATCTCATTAAATGATCTAGAACTTTTTCCATTTAATTTGTGTACTGTTTTGGCACAGACAATAAAATACATATTTTACTGAGACAATGTAGGTGTCCTCAGTGACTCTCTTACAAAAGATTTATATGGAACTTGATGACAGATATTTCCTGTTTCCTGAAGCATCAAGGACAAGTGAGAGCAAGGGAAAGATCATTAGATTATGGATTGATTCTGTCTGAGTCTGCATCAATGAAAACTTTCTTCGTGGAAAAATGAGGTTTCAGAGATACCCAAATGATTTGCTAATTCAGACTGACTTTTCTGGATATGTTCATTTAAACTCTTTTGAATAATGTTACAACACCAACAAAGAGAAGCTGTCTTCTTGCTCTTAACCTCTTATCTATCAGTTTAGTGTCTCACCAAGGAGGAGACTGGGTTCATTGTCCTTCTTTGTCTACAAGGTTTGAACACACATCGGCTAATAAAACAGCTTAAATACCATATAGTTCTCTGAATGAGGCTGCTCTTAGTTCCTCTTATGTGCTATTTTGTACAAATAGTGAACACAGCTAGCTAAGCTGCCATATAGGGAAAATGCTTAATTTCCTTTTCTGCTGGTTCCATACAGGTGCAACCTGTGTGTTAAAAAAGAAGTTCTCAGCTAGTCAGTTTTGGAGTGACTGCAAAAAGTACAATGTGACTGTCATCCAGTACATTGGAGAACTTTGCCGTTACCTTTGCAGCCAGCCAGTGGTAAGTGGAACCAAAATGATGGCTGTTCGTCTGTAAGTGGTATGTACATTTATTGTGCTTAATGTGGTTATGTTAAAAGGGAAGTAAAACTGTACTGAACCTGTCCCTCTGCCCTTCTTTTTATCTGAGGTTCTTCAAATATTTGGTGATTGGTGGACTGTAAAAAAACCAAATGGCTTGAATCAGAAAGATGATAAAGTATTAAAAGAAAAGATTTCGAGACTAAAAACTGATTTAGTATCATTTGTTGAAAAAATATTATTTCACAGAGTTGCACAATGTAAGTTCAGAAAACGAGGATTACTGTTCAATGTCTCTGCAGAATTTTCAAAACTTTGTTTCTTGGCACATAAGTATATCAGAGGTCTCAAGTTTTGTAGGTCATGTTTTAGCACTGTTTTGCCTTGTGGAGTGTGCTTGTTTTGAGACCATCTAAACCATATTTTAAAATTTGAAAGGGATTTGGTCTAGGTTAGCATCTCAAAGGAAGAATGCCTTTTGTTCCAATTAGAAAGCTATTCCAGACAACAAAGCTAGTTTTGTTAAAGTGACATTTCTCTCTGAGACTGTGTTAGCCGTAACTTGAAAATACTTCTTTTCCCTTGGCAGTCAGTGGTGTGATGGTCTTATCTAGATGGTATCAAGTACGAAGTATGCTGAACCTGTTGTAATTGCCAAGTGTAGCTGAATCAGGTTAACTGAATCAACACTTGATCTGGTTATTTTCTGGTATGTTTCTGTATCTATCCATTGACAATGGAGAGAGCCCAAGATGTTTACACTAAGCTAAATGCCTAAAATTCATTGGAGTTAAGATCTACAGAATAATATAGACGGAACAGATATAACCTGTTGCATAGCAAACGCAACTGACTTTCTGTCCTCAAATGCTCGTGCTAAATGTGTCAAAATGAATATGAAACAAACATTCATAATCCAGTATAAACTAAAATTCATCTTGCTAATGCTGGCAACTTCCATCCATTTATGAGCTGCAGGTTATCCTGTTGTGTTTCAATAATAAATCCTAAATGTTACATCATACATTCTCTTACCTGGTTAAGCATTTTAATAAATGACTTTACACAGTTTCTTATGATCATAAACAGCTATTATTTTGAATACTAAATAAAAATAAATAACAGCTTCCGAGTACCTGTATAACATTGTTGTGGCTTAATCCAGCAGGCAGCTAAACACCACACATCTGTTCACTCACTCTCCCCCTCCCCAGTGGGATGGGGGAGGGAATTGGAAAAAAAAAAGGTAAAATCTGTGGGTTGAGATAAAGGGAGTGTAATAGGACAGAAAAGGAAGTGATGCACAATGCAGTTGCTCACCACCTGCTGACCGATACCCAGACAGTTCCCGAGCAGCAATTGCTGCCCCCCCAGCCAACTGCCCCGGTTTGTATACTGAGTTTGATGTCATATCGTATTGAGTAGCCCATTGGTCAGTTTGTGTCAGCTGTCCTAACTATGCTTCCTCCCAGCTTCCTGTGCACCTGGCAGAGCATGGGAAGCTAAAATGTCCTTGACTAGTATAAACACTACTTAGCAACAACTAAAACATCAGTGTGTTACCAACATTATTCTTATACTAAATCCAAAACACAACACTTTACCACCTGCTAGGAAGAAAATTAACTCTATCCCAGCTGAAACCAGGACAAACATTAAGCAAAAAGAACTGTATCCTCTTTTAATTTAAGAAAATGTTTAGGAGAACACAGAGATTTGCAAAAATTATTAAGTTGGATGCAATGCAACTGTTACCTCTTTGAACATTCTTCCTTTGCCTCTATCATAATTTCATTTTGTGATTTCAAAAAAGTAATCAGTGGTTTATTTCCTTTTCAGTGAATTTTATTGAAATTACTCATTTCTTAGGAAATGGTGCCAATAATTCAAATTAATTAATCTGAAAATTCTTTTCTAATCCAAGTCCCCATCTTATGATTTTCCAGAGTAAGCTCCTCCTTAAGCAGTGTTCTAATAATTCAAAGAGAATGCAAATCACTCTTGTTTTCCAGCAGAATAACAATTTTCATTAATATCTCACGTTGCTGACCAAAGAATGGAAAAGGTCAGTGTTCATAAGACATTGGATTTTTTTTTCCTCCTGAAAATTTTCGGAAGTATGTTTAAGTAACGTGGTGGTGGGTCATAGATCCTACAGCATTATCCATGCATGCTGCAGCAAAGAGGATGTTTTTGAATTAAAGAGGGCAAGACTGATGTCCCAGTGACTATCACTGGCTGTGATGTGAAACCAGAATAGTAATACCTTTCTCTCTCTCTTTCTTTTTTTTTTTGGTGGTGTTTTTTTAATTTTTATTTTTGTTTCTTTTTTAACTTTATAATAAAACAAACAAAAAGTTACAGGATAACGAAAAATGAAGTTAAAGACCATACAGAAAATCAAAACATATGACAGGCCCAGCTTTTATAAATTGTGATTTTTCTTCATTGTAGGCTAACATGATTTCCCCGAAGTCATCTCCCTTCTCCGTAACACTTCCCAACTTTTGCTGTATTTGCAGCCTCAGATATTAATTGTTCCCCTTTTCTGTCTTTTAACTGTACAGTTAGAGCATGGCATTTTGTTTTACCCATTTTATCCTGTTCAGTATCTTAGAACAAGAATGATAGATTAATGTACTTCATTTTCTAGAACAAACTCTTTCATTTTTAAATCCTTACGAAGTCATTGTAAAGTTAAAGGAGTTTTAAATTTTCCAATAACATTATTTTTACCATCATTAACTATTTACATACTATATACTATATTTATACCATCATTAACTATTCACTACTATATAACTATTCTATTTATTAATTTATGTGCATGCTCTCTAGGAGTTGGCATGTCTAAACTCTTTGCTCTCTAAGGTTACAGGGTTTTTTTGGTTTTGGGTTTTTTTGCTAGCTGGCTAAAAAGAAACCTAATGTACCTTACCAAGAAAAATTAAAGTTATAAAATGAATCAGTTTGACAGCTAGGTACTTGAAGAGAAATAGTAAGTATTTGTCATCTTAAAACTGGAAGAGAAACATGTTCACCCAAATAAGTGGAAAGATTTTAAATATGTTATGCAATCCATTTTTATTTTTCAAGTAGGTGAAATAATTTGCCAAGTTGTTATCTCTCTTTAAGTTTCATTAACTTAGAAGTACTATATGTACTGGCAGCAAGAGAAAGATAGAGCTAAAACAAGTTTTAAAACTCTGTGAAGGTATTATGAGGGCAGTGTTCTCAAGGTTAGAGTACTATAAAGCCCTTCTAATGAACATAGATTAAAACCATAGCAATTATCTTAAGTGCTTCATTTGTTTCTTTAACACAAATTTGAAATAAATGGTATATTTCTAATAGTTGGAGGCCACAGCGTGGCCTCTTATGTCATAGATTTTGAACACAACTTTTGGCAAGTCTCTGTGGTAGAATAGAATAGAATAGAATCATTAAGGTTGGAAAAGACCTCTAATATCATCTAGTCCAACCGTCATCCCAACACCACCCACTAAACCATGTCCCACAGTGCCACTTCTACCCGGTTTTTGAACACCTCCAAGGATGGTGACTCCACCACCTCTCTGGGCAGCCTGTTCCAATGCTTGATCACTCTTTCTGTGAAGAAATTTCTCCCAGTATCCAATCTAAACCTCCGCTGATGCAACTTGGAGGCCATTTCCTCTCATCCTATCACTAGTTACTTGGGAGAAGAGACCAACACCCACCTCACTACAACCTCCTTTCAGGGAGTTGTAGAGAGCGATAAGGTCTCCCCTCAGCCTCCTCTTCTCCAGGCTAAACAACCCCAGTTCCCTCAGACACTCCTCATGAGACTTGTTCTCCAGACCCTTCACCAGCTTCATTGCCCTTCTCTGGACACACTCCAGCACCTCAATGTCCTCCTTGTACTGAGGGGCCTAAAACTGGACACAGTGTTCGAGGTGCGGTGTCATCAGTGCCAAGCACAGGGGGACGATCACCTCCCTGCTCCTGCTGGCTACACTATTGCTGATCCAAGCCAGAATGCTGTTGGCCTTCTTGGCCACCTGGGCACACTGCTGGCTCATGTTCAGCCAGCTGTCAGCCAGCACCCCCAGGTTGTTTTCAGCCAGGCAGCTTTCCAGCCACTCTTCCCCAGCCGATAGCATTGCATGGGGTTGTTGTGACTGAAGTGCAGGACCCGGCACTTGGCCTTTTTGAACCATATACAGTTGGCCTCGGCCCATCAATCCAGCCTGTGCAGATCCCTCTGCAGGGCCTTCTTATCCTCGATCAGATCGACACTCCCACCCAATTCGGTGTTATCTGCCAACTTACTGAGGGCACATTCAATCCCCTCATTCCGATCGTTGATAAAGATCTTAAAAAAGACTGGCCCCAAAACAGAGCCCTGGGGAACACCACTCGTGACCCATCTCCAGCTGGACTTAACTCCATTCACCACAACTCTCTGGGCTCGAACACCCAGCCAGCTTTTACCCAGCGAAGAGTACACCTGCCTAAGCCATGAGCTGCCAGCTTCCTCAGGAGAATGCTGTGGGAGATGGTGGCAAAGGCTTTACTGAAGTCCACGTAGATGACATCCACAGGCTTTCCCTCATCCACTAGGCGGGTCACCAGGTCATAGAAGGATCCACCCAATAAAGGATGGAGATTCTCCTTGGCTCTCTTTTTGTGGTTAATGTGTTTGTAAAAACATTTTTTGTTATCTCTTACAACAGTGGCCAGATGGAGTTCTAGCTGGGCTTTTGCCTTCCTACTTTCCTCTCTGTATGACCTAATGAGGTCCATGTACTCTTGTTGAGTTGCCTGCCCCTTCTTCCAAAAGTGGTAAACTCTCCTTTTTTTCCTGGGTCCCAGCAAAAGCTCCCTATTCATCCAGGCCGGTCGCCTTCCCCGCCAATTTGTCTTACAGCACATGGGGACAGCCCGCTTCTGTGCCTTTAAGACTTCTTTCTTGAAGAACGCCCAGCTTTCCTGGATCCC